AATGCAAAAATTCCCATTGTTTCTCACATTTAAATGTCTAACCTCACACCATTAAAAAGCATATTTATAGTTATAGTCTACTCCCCACTCACCCACCACACACATAAATTTTTTAATGCTGGAGTTAGGAGCATGTCTGTGTCTTTATACAGGTGCCAAGACACAGACAGCGGGAGCTGATATCTCAGCCTCACCCTCCAGTGGACCTCTCTATTCTGTTCCTGTTGTTTTCTCGTCATGGAGAATTTTTAATGGATTCTCAGCTCATATTCTGACTTGGTGTGTGGCACAGTTTGTGCTTCAGTTTTGGTGAGTGAAACTAGAGTATTATGTTAGCTAATAATGAACTAATATGACTAACTGTTCATTGCACCCTTGCAGCTTGCTATCCAAAATTGAAATGCAGACGCTAAAATGCTAACAATGAAGTTTTAAGAGACCGGTGGCTATGTCCATCTTGTAGACCATCTGTGGTTCCTGTATAAGAGATCTATTAATGAGTGAGCTTTAAACTGCTTGCTCATAGCGGGTCAGGTCTGATTGTTGGGGTTTTCTCTTATTGTAGGGTCTTTACCTTACAATCTAAAGCACCTGCTTTGAATTAAATTGAACTGAATTAAATTGGAATATCATTGTTAGCTACTCCCCCCACCTTACACACATCTTGTTTTTTTACCATCGCACAGAGCTCTTGAAAGCAAAGTCTATTACTTTGTTTCTCGAAATTACAGTCCCTCTTAGATTAAACCGGTTATTATTACAAATACACTCTGATGCAGATAGCCCTCTAAAAAACAGCTGATGGCTGCTGCTACCTGGACTCCCTGCCGCAGTGCTCGTCACCAACATTATACTCCCCATTGCTGTGTTATTCTCTCATTATTGAATCATAGAGGGGGTTTCAGTAGCTTGTGGAGGAGGGGGCAGACTGGGTGTCCATCCAAGTGACCCTCCCTGAGGACTTAACCCACACCACCCCACCTCACTGTTGCATAATGGATGAAGGACAGACATTGGGAGGGAGGAATGGAGAGCGGAGCCCTTATTACCTTGTGATTCATTTTTAATGAGGTAAACAGGTCTTTCCAGGTCACCTGAAAGCTCACACACACCAACTGCAGGTGGTGTGTCTTCCCATCGACAGCCTTATTGCTGCCCGCTTTGACATGCACCATGGCTGCAGGGGCTGCAATCGTATAATTAGGTCTCACTGTCATTGACAGAATGTGTCTCACTTCCCACAGAGTCCCTTTTCCTTCCTTCCTTCAAGTTAGACACCACCAATTATATGGTGGCAAGAAGACCTTATTATACGTGCTCTAGGCAACCTTTGCCTCACTTTTCCTTTTAGATGAAATTTTCCTGCAGTGAGGTCTTGCAAAGACCACCAAAATCTCATTATTGTGTATTGTTTCATAACTGATTTGATTGCGCTTTCCAGCTCAAAAATTTAATTTTATATTGATTATTTTGCAAGAACCAGTTCTTGAAAACAGCCTGTCCCTTGTGATGTTTCTTGCCCTATATAGTAACACTCCACTCAGGTAGCTGTTCTCTCTTTATGCTCAGTTATTGTACCACTTTTCCTTCTGTGTATATGTTAAGACAGCCGATAAAAGCAAACCTTGTTTTGCTCTAATGGAAATAAAATAGGCTCCCTCAAGCAGACGTCTGGTTTGAAATTGGATGACAGGCGAGGATTCACGTACCGGGTGTCATCTGGGAAATCAAACCCGCTCAGTTCACTTGTTCCGAAAGTTGGCGAACAGGTACGCCTTTGCAAACAGGGAGGTGGAGAACTCCCACAGCAATTCTCTGCGAAGCCTGTCGGGGCTGTGAAGGAGGGAGAAGGAAAGAGAGAGTGCAACAGGAAGGTGAGAGCAGGAACAGATGGAGAGACGCAGGGATTCTACATTTACAGTCATTTAAAACAGGTGCTATACATAGCCAAGCCTTCAACCAGTTCTCTCATCTAAATGATATCATTACAGCAAGAAGTCATTAAAAAAATCTTTATCCCCCAGACTGTGTACATTTCCCTCTTCTCTCTGGGGAGCAGGGATGAGAACCAAAATTTAGGGTCCCTCAAGTCATTGAATTTTGCTTTTTATCACCCTATAGCTGTGCTGCATGTGTGTCATTGTGCTTTATATGGGATTAGAGAAGATGTTTTCTGCCTGACTGGCCACAGGCTCTCAGCAGCAAGACGAGGATCATTTCCCCTGAAGAGAAAAGCTCCGCTCAGTCTTGATGTAAACCTCGGCACGTACACCCCACTGATGTTTAGAATAGATTGTCGCTCACATACCAGCAATCTTTATCAGTGTTTCATACGTTTGAGATTAGAGAATGCATGTTTCCCAAAAGGGGCTTCAAAAAAGATGGAAATGTACAGTCGTGTTGCTCGAGAAATTGTAGTTTTACCATTTAGCATCCATGAGGTTACTGTCACCTGGGTTAGGATTAGGATTTGTTCACATTCAAGTTCACATTCACAAATTTTTTATAGAACGTTCACATCTTTGAAACGTCCAAATGGGGATTGTTTTTTTAACAGAAAAAACTGTAATGCCAAATGTCTGTTTACAAACCCAACCCCAACTCAACACCTAGCTAGATTGCTGGTAGCCTGATTAAGAGGTTAAGCACTGAGCAGAACCCAACCCAGTACCACCAGTAAAGGCTTTTACCATCAGTCTTAGGAGTGATATTTTGACTTAATGAATGTCACACCCTCCTCCACACTCATTCTCATGAAAGAGCTTTTCTCTCTATTTTAAAGTCACAGGTCCAGTGTAATCTAAACTGAGTTAAGCAGGATCCTCCTAAACTCTTTGTTCCTGTATTTACTTCAGGCGGCTCTCCCTGTTTACATAAATTCTTTAGCGCAGAATTGCATCCACCATTGTTATTGACATTGTTACTGACACGACTGTTTGATCAAGTGTGTCAGGTTTTAACTTGGCAGTCACAGCCTTAGTCACTAAATGGATAAGTCAATGAAACCCCCATTATTCTATCAATATAATCATCCAAATCCCATCTTTTTTTGATGGACTTCAGGAACTAACTATGGTCTTTACCAAAGTGTGCAGTATGTAACCTAAATCTGAAATTCAAAGATACTAAAGTAATCATTCAAATAATAAAGTAATAATGCTATTATATGCCATATATTGTCTGAATACAAGAAAGTCTCTGACTCAGTGGCCTACATGTGGGCACTGGAGTGCTTGGCACTATACAAGGCTACAATACTGAACTGGTAACCTTAATCAGGAACTCAATGGGACCGTGAAGGCTTGTACCCTGAGGCTGTACTGCAACGGAAAGGACAACTAGGATCAGTGGCAGTCAAGCCACAATCCAGGGTAAAGTATCCATAAACACATCACAAAGCTTGCATCCTGAGATGAGATGCTCCAAGAGTGCTTCAGGCAGCTGAAGACAGACCGTGATGAGGAACAGGAAGAGGAACTATCATGGATGATCAAGTCCCTGCATGGGTTGTACCAATTACCGAGGAAGAGGCTAAGAGAAATCCTATCAGTGGCTAGAAAAGGCTGTGCTCGGGCGTTGGTTTAGCTCAGTGCAGGTAATCAGATGCCATATGACTATGAGAATGGCGGACCTATGGCCCTTTTGACTCTTTCTCCACCTCTCCTTTACTTGCAATTCTTCACTGTACCTATCAAATAAAGCCAGAAAACAAAGAAAAAAAAACATAAGAGGAAGCCCCCGGCACCGGATCCAGGCAGTCTGCCACAGCCAACAGTACCCAAGTTGCAGGCTGTGCAAAGGTGCCTCTGTACAGTACATAGCAGCAGAATGTAAAAGCATAGCCGAGTCACTGAAATAGAATGCAGGAAAAAGCTGAGCTGCATATGGACTAGAAATCCCCAAGTACTGATGGGTGACGTTGCCAAAGGTATTTGAGAATGGCAGGGCTGTGGGACTTCAAGTTCCAGACAGACAAGCAGCTACTGGCCAACCAACAAGACAGAGTGGTGGGTGACAAGGAGCAGATTACCGTTGAGATGGGTGTGCCAACATCAGAAAGAACAAGACACCTGGATTGAACCATATTGTTGTGAAACTGGGTGGATGTGTATTTGATGTGTAACTGAAAGGAGAACAAAACTTTTTTCTAAACTTTTTTTTTTTTGCAAAATTGGTGAAGCCTTATGTAAATATTTCACTGCTTATTTTACATATAGTTTTTTTCTCTGCAACCACTGTTCATTTACATAGATCGATCGATCGATAGATGCTTTAAAGTAACTTCCCAGTTGCAAAGAAGGCTGCCAAGTTTCACGACTTGCATCTAAAAAGACTTAGTCAAGCACGAGTTGGCTTTCCACTGAAACTGGAGAACACTGATCACAAACATTTCACAAAAGTGTTATGGTTTGTTGACAGTTTTGACACTGACGATTGTATAAACTGCAAACGTCAGAGAATTTATGTGACTTTCAGTTGGCGTCATTTTCCATGTTCAAAAGTAATTCCTCTGACGTTGGTATGTTTCTGAACTTTAGGTCAGAAAGTGTAAAAATCTATAAAGAGCATTTAAACATATGGATCGCTATTTCTAGACTTGAATTCCCAGATGGATTGTAGAGATTTATCTGGTGCCATTCTTTGGTGTTGTAAGGTTTTTTGTATAAGCAATCAGAAACTAGCTAGTTAAAACTTTTGTTTTAATATGATATGTTCAACATGGGTCCAGCACATCATTTGAGTGCATATTCATTGTTATCCAGGCTCATCAATCTCACAAACGGAGCCTTTGGCGGCCCTTTTTCACTCCCTGCTTTCAAGTCCTTTAATGCTATGTTAATGCAGGCCCTGCATTCACTCATATCTTGCTTTCCATTGGCTTGCCCGCTGCAATTTGCTGCTAATGGTCCAACCACCACCCCATCCCATTCCACCCCTTCTACCCACCTCCCTTTCCCCATTTTCACTCTCCTACTCTCTCTCTCTGTCTCACTCTCTTCTTCCAGCCTTGAGGCGTCCTGTTTCAGCTCCTTCGCTTTCAGTCACAATGCTGTGGAGAGGGTGAATGGGAGAGGTGGAGGTGGTGGGGTGGGCATTTAAGAGAGCAGTAGGTGGGAGTGGAGTCTGACCGCAGAGGGTCTAGTGTTTAAGAGAAAGGGAATTCTCTCTTTCACTCACTCTTTCCCTCTCTCAGCCTCTCGTTCTCTCTCGCTCTCTCTCTCTCCTCACTGGCTGCTCAACATCAGCTGGCTCTCTAGGTAGACTCGAGTAAACACTCAAAGAGAACAGAGAGAAGAGGGAAGATGACAGAGCTGTCAGTGCTCTGAGAGATACAGACCGGTGAGAACATTTGTCAGGGCTGGCTGATAAGGCTCTCCTCAAGGCTTCTTAGATTGCTCATCGGTGGAGAGGCTGCAAGCATTCTCTTCAAGGTAAGTTACCTCCTTTACCTGCACTGAGCCAGTGTTTGAATAAGAGCAGAATGAATGGGCTGCTTCACTTACCTAATTAAGATCCATTTTGAAAAGGAAATGGCAGTGAATGACAACTTTAAACACACTGTCTCAGCTCTGTTCTTCCATATTAGTGTATATTCAAACTTTTTACAAAGATTTCTAGCCTGTTTTGGCCAATTTTATGAAATGCATAGATAGTGCAATGGTTATTGGCATTAGAAAAAATCTTTTGATTATTCACTGGATTGTTTGCCCCCCAAAAATGAAAATTTGGTGTAACTAGCGTAAGCTGACCAACATTTCAGATTTTTGCTTTGATTTCTGAGGTGCTTTGACAGGTTTTCATGGCAGTGATAGTGACCATGTTGAAATCTATACATCGATCTCACATGGAGAATGTGTGGATGATGTTAGCAAAACCATTGCTTGCTCTGCAAAGCAGTTACTGTAATTCATTCTATGTTTTGTAATTCGAGCCTTCAGGTTGTTTTAATTGTGCTTTTTACTGCATGCACCTGGCTGCCAATTATGTTTTACTGGGAAAAGTTTTTCCTCTTGTCGGCTGTTTCCCTATTATTACCAGAGAGCCGGTAAAAAAGAGTGATGTTTGTAGAGAGAACAGTGTCATAATCTGCTGAATTATTCTACCTGCATTAGGGCTGATATTGAGTTATTGTCCGATGGCACAGCAGTGCCAAGATGGTTAGTGTTAGTATGCATTTGTCCAACGTATGTGAGTGTGAGCATGCATGTGTGTTCGGACTACTTGCTGAAGTAGGTCCAGCTGTACACTTTATGGCTGCCAGCAGACAGTAGGCTTCTGTAACCCAGGAGACAGACAGCTGCTCTGCATTAGATGCTGCCGGTTGGTTCCTGTCCCAGATCTCCAACATACACAGTGCCTGTTGTAAAGCGGCAGCCTTACTGAAACAAACACACCAGCCTGGTCAGATGGCAAAAAATGTTTTTAGAAATAAGCTCTTTGATTGTGTACACAGACACAAATAGTTTTATTTCTTTAAGCTCAGCACGAGTTTGAAACAAATACAATAGGAAACGTGCTTTTTTTTCTGCATGCATACGATCACATCTATGGATGAGATTGTCAGCAGCCCTGCATCACCCTGGCAACCAAGAAAAAATTCTAAGAAACCAAGTACTTGGCTAACCCTAGCTAGGTAGTTTTAATATCACAAACCTAACCCTACTTTTATTGATTGAGTTTAAAAAAAAGGGAGTCCCTTGGAGGACTTGAACTGTGGTCACACATAGACATGTCAGTGGCATGGCTATATGCACAGAAATTAAAATGTGTGAAATTAGCTGGATAAAAATCACATTCAAGGAAATACAAATAATGGGGTGTGTAGGAGGAACAAAGAAACGTGTTTCTAAAAGTATAAAATATTAGATTACATGTGGTGCCTATGGGTTGAACACACATTTCCATGTGCTTCCCAACCTCTTATCATGAGTTCAGCTTCATGTTTTTGTTTCCAACAGGAGTTTGTAGAGAGAGAAACCATCAACCTGAGGGTGTTTGATAGACTAGTATGCTGACAGTAAATATGGGATTTTTAGTGTTGCTGCCAATTGTGGGTTTTTTTCTCCTTTTTTTGGACAGAAGATAAAACACTTAATGTTAGTCTTCTGCCATTTCTGTCAAAAATGTTGCCTTTGTGGTCACAACTCCCTAAAAGTGTGGTGGTAAAACATAGTAACATTAGCAGAATTATAGAGCTGTCATTGGTAACTGAAGCAGCAGCAGTATCAGTCACACCTACAGTATGAGGCAAAGACAGTTACTAGTCCTTTTTTCAATTTGTAAGAGAATAAAAGGCATTTTTGCTAAAAAAAAAAACGATAAATTTCAGAAATATATATCTCTTAAAAGTTTTCACTCTCGAAAACTTTATTTTGGGCCACTATAGGTTTTCTACCAAAAGCTGGTGAAATCCTTTAAGGTGTGTCAGCTGTTCTTCAAGGCAGGCAGAGATGGGATTTATTCATTTAAACTTTACACCTCGAAGCTGTTTGAAGAAAATCACATCCTCATGGTGGCTGATATCAAAACCTTTATCTACATCTTAGGGAGAATGTGAACGGGTAAGTTGGTGCAGAAGGCAAAAAGTGATGAGACCCACAGGAGACCCACGGGATACCAGGGGAGCATGTGCTGGATGGTAATTGTGTATGATGAGAAGATGCACACACGGGGAAGGAGCCTGGCTGTGTTTCAACAGCCGTCTAAGCCTTCAGGTCCACTGCAGACCTTTCATATCTTCCTCAAATATCTCTCAGAAGATTTACAAGTAATTTTAACCTATTTCCATGTCCAACATGGGTTTGAGTAATGTCGGTGTAACAGGAGTGACCATCACTGGCAGCGCAGGCTTGGCATATTAATGTTTTATGATGCGTTGGCTATGCATATAAGTAGCCACTGACAGTGACACTTGGCGTAACGATGAGTGGGAAACAGGCCTTTGTTTGGACAGCTGTTGGCTCCGAATGCTCCGTGCCCTACAAAGCTTTATTAGAGGGCGACTGTCTTTAACCCCACTTTGCTCCTCCACTGGTGATTGAGAATGAACAATAATGTGGATATTCATGATGACCCACGTTAGACAGGACTCAGGAGAAATGCTCTGGTTTGACTAAATGAACCTCATGTTTAATTTAGTCTGGTCTGGACAACCTTTACTGTCTCTTCTGCTGCTCCTCTCTTTGTCTTTCCTCATTGACATTGTTGCTGTTTTTTGATGAAATGTCTTGCTTAAATTATAAAGTTAAGCCAAATTTGACGTAATTTATTATTTACAGTGCAAAATAATTTAATCTGGACTCTGGATAACAGATTCAGGGTTTACAAAGAATAAGTCAGACTGCCTTTGGTGATCCCCTAATTTTCACATAGGACAATAGGAGAACATATTTTTTTTATTTGTCCTCTTAAGTAAATATCTACCAAAATAATTCCCCAGATCTAAGACACTAAACACTCTATGCGTAGATGTGTAAATAAACAGAGTGTGCAAGTTCAAAGTTCAAGTGTAGTCTAGTGGTCAATATCTCAGCTATATGAAAGAAATGCAAAAACCAGCAAACAATTTCTCGCCATTGGAAGGAATATATTGGGATTGATGATCTAGCTAGCAAGTTAAAAAGAACTTGTTTTTACATTACAGATACAACTACATATTGTATGTGTTGCGGCATTTTTTAGCATCTATGCTTATTAAATGGTAGTCCAGTAGAAATTATATGAAATTTGTCAAAGTCTTACTTCAGTTCATATCTGATCATGTTGTATACTTCACTCCTGATTTGAAAGGCATCATCATAGGGAAATCATTCAGCAGGCATCCAGTTTTATTAATTACAAGACGATGATGTGTCCATTTATAAGGGCTTTGCTTTCCTGTTCTCTCTTTTTTTTAAGTATTTGTCAGCCTTGCAATTTACACCGGTTCTTCAGAAAGTTAATTACAGCGTTGCCCCTTTCCCACTAAAGCTTACTCAGATTAGTCATCACTAAAAACAAAGGCACCCCGTCAAAGAAATCCAGTGTTTTAACCATCCCAGATGGTTGTTCCTCTAATGCTAATGGGTAACGGGAAAGAAGTGGAAGTCTTGGAGCTGTTGGATCCGGGATTCCTTTGTATTGCCTGGCCCTTCACTGAAGGCAACCAATAGATGAACATTTGTGGTAGACACTTTGCTCTGACACTTTGCCACCACCAGTGACCTCACACATTGGAATGTATTAGCCATAATGTTTTTGAAATGTGATGGGGGCCCTTTTGAGAGGGGCAGACAATTTAAATTTGAGAAAATGGTAAAAAACAGGGAAGCCAATGAAGAGCCGACCCCGGGCACCGGGGTCATTAGGCTCATACAAGTGTCTGAATGGAAGGCACTCCCAATTTGGACACGCAACACGCTTCAGGCTTTCATTGCAGACAAGGACAAACAGATGTCCGTGTATCACAGCCAACATGCTTGCTTCCATTGCTACTGAAGAGGGGGGGAAAATCTTTTCCATCCAGTTTGAATAGAAATAGCACATAAACCTCCAGTGTAAAGCCGTGTAAAGTGCTAAAACATGCAGTCTTTGAATGGGCATGAAAACTCTTTGGCATGTTTGCCCAGAAATGCCAACATTTACCATTCCGTTTACTCTGGAACTCAGACATTTAGGATAGTTGACATGGGACAAGGTCTGTTCCCTGAGTTCATATTGTTTTCATCTGCACATGAACAGATGTGGGTCAACAAATAAATTTGTCAGTAGTGACTTGCGGTTGGAATTTTCACATTCCTGAGTTTCATGACTAATAGCTGGCACCTCATTTCTAAGCAAATAGTGGCCTGTGGCCCAATTCCGACCATGTGGAAAAACACATGACCCTGTTGTTAGTTACTTAATGACACTCTTGATTTCATAAAAACGTACACTGTTCTTACTCACACATACTGAGAGAAAATATAAATAAATAGCTCCTGTTTTCAAAGAAAAATCTTATACTTCTTACTATTGTCTGTCATAGTTTTATAAAGACAAACATCAGTATATGAGAAGAACCATCAGTGGTAAAGGTTCTGTTCTTGAATGAATTAAAAGAAATGATCGTGATTGGGGATGCCCAACAGCCATTGCCGGTATTTCTTTTTCTTTTGTTCTTTATAAACGAGTGACCTGTTTTAAAGTTTGTCATTATCCAGTTGATCCAACAATGACAGAAGTGATAACCGCGAATACTTAATGGGAACTGACAGTGATGTAATCTTATCTGCAACATGCTGATATCAGTCAACAGCAACAGTATCATCCAATACCAATATTCAGCTAATATATTGGTACATTGCTAGAAAACAGATGAAAGTTGTTGACTGTATCTGATGTAAATTAAAAGAAACTAATTCCTGACCTTTGCGTGTGACCCACTGCAATCTCAAAAGTATAAAATGACATG